TATAGACTAGGAGAGACAGACTACTTCTGAATGTTTAGTTTTTGAAATTTTTATGAATAGCAGTGGAACATTATCAGATATACTGTCAGAAGATGAAAACATTATAAATAGCACCAGAATATTGTCAGATATAGTGCTGAAGAAGAGTGTCTAAGGAAAAGCAGCTCCTCAAAATAGAGTTGACCTGTGATATCATGTATTGTTGTTGTAAAGTGCCATCAAGTTGGTTTAAATGCATAGCAACCCTTTATAGAGTTCTGAGGAGCAGCTGGTGAATTTGAACCACCGACCTTGTGGTTCAAACTGAACTTGCAGTCCACAGCATTAGTCCACAGAACTACACTAGGACTCCTAGATATCATGGGGAATTAAAAACAACTTGTTCCTTGCTAGTGCTTGATTTCAGTCCAATGTCTATTCTACTTTATCCTATTTTATTATTTTTGTTTCTGTGACCTTGAACAAAGTTAGGATCTCCAAGTGTCTGAAGTTATGTACCTGCATTGTCACATATAACCTGCATAAATAACCAATATCAATAAATTGCTTTAGTTGGTTTTACAGGAAGTTATTGTCCCTTAAAATATCTTATAGTCTTATTCATGTCAGTTCCTACTCATGGCCACCCTTTATTGGGTATCTGAGGAGTGGAATGGTGAGTTTGAACCACCGACATTGTCACTAAAATCAACTTACAAAATTATCTCTATGCAATAAAATGAACAAATTATTGTGGCTTAGCCATTAATATAATGATTGCTCTTGTTGTTGTTATGTGCCATGGAGTCAGTTTTGACTCATAGCGACCCTGTACAGGGTTTCCGAGGCTGTAAATCTTTATGGGAACAGAAAGCCTCATCTTTCTCCCACAGAAAAGCTGTTAGTTTCAAACTGCTGATCTTGAGGTTCGAAGCCCGATTTGTAACCACTACGCTACCAGAGCGCCTTCTTATTGCTAAGTGCTGTCAAATCAGTTCTGATTCACAGCAATCCTCTGTAGGGTTTCCAAGACTGTGTCTATGTGGGCCACCCCTCATCTGTCAGTTGGTAGTATTGTGGTGGCTTTTGCATTGTTGTGATTCTGGAGGCTTTGCCACCAGTATTTTAAATACCAGCAGGGTCACCCATGGTGGACAGGTTTCAGATAAACTTCTAGACTAAAACACTAGAAGAAAGAGATGGACTACTTCTGAATATTTAGTCACTGAAAACTTTCTGAATAGCAGTAGAAAACTGCCACATAGCACAGAATATATATATTCAAATATAATGCCGGAAAACAAGCCCTTTAGATTGGAAAGCACTCAAAATGTGACTGGAGAAGAGTTGCCTCCTCAAGTAGACTTGACTGTGGAGCAAAGCGTTCAGGACATTTACTTGCTGATGAAACACAACTCAAAATGAGGAGCTGACTCTAAGGTACTTATCGACATCAACAACTGTACCAAAAATGCACAGGACCAGGCAGTGTTCCATTCTGTTGTACATAGAGTTGCTATGAGTTGGTACTGACTCAATGGCAGCTAACAACAGCAACGACAATCTTTGTAGGAGCAGAAAGCTCAAATTTGATGGCTGTAACTGCTGACTTTGTGGTTCACAATCCACAGCTGCAGAGTCAATAGACTTCTAATAGGATGATAAGGTGTAGTTTAGCAAACACAAGACATGACTCACATCTTCTAATATTTCCTGTTGCCCAAAATTCAAATACCTATTTAACTTAAAATTGGGGATGTTTTTCAGGTAAAGTGAATATCACTGTAGTTGGTGAAGCCAAATCAAGTAGTTCTTGCCCAAATCAATCAACTGAGCAGCAAAATCTAAGATGGAAAGACATTGTGATGAAAAGTTTATTGGTAGAGGTATGTATATGAAAATTACCAAGCTCTTCCTGATAAGAAATGGTGGTGGTAGTAGTTGTGTGCCGTCGAGTCGATTCCAACTCACAATGACCCTGTATAGGCTTCCTGAGGCTGTAAACCTTTATGGGAGCAGAAAGCCTCATCTTTCTCCTGCAGAAGGGCTAGTAGCTTCAAACTGCTGACCCTGAGGTTAGCAGCCTAACTTGTAAACACTATGATAAGAAATAGACAATATATACTATGTTAGATACTCAGATATTCTTATTGAGAAGAATTAATTAACTGAACATAGCTAGTTCTCTTTACCCACCTTCAGCTTTTTTTTTTTTTTTAACTGATTCTCAAATCTAAGTGAGAATGCCTTCTTTGCAATTTCAGTCCTCTTCCAAAAAGTAGCAATGATCATCAAATTCTCTTCTGGCCTCTTCTATGTTCTTACTCTGTAAAACTTTTTTTTTGTCAACTGAGATGCTACATAGGATCAGAGAAGTTCAATGTCACACATTTACATAGAGGTCATTCTTGTCCTATCCTGTAAATGGGTGCTGATATGTACAGTGATGTGCAGATATAAACAGAAGTCTGCAATGAGTAAATCTTTGCCCAGGCACAAACTTGTATCAACCAAGCCTATGTGAGCTGATGCTCCCTTACTTTTCTTGTATGGAAAGATGAACTACTCTCAGTTTCTGCTTGCTTTTGTTTTCTTGTTGACAGCCTGAAGGTATTGAGAAAGAACTGACTCAAAGTTTCCTAATCTGTACAAAAGGTAAGAAGATTGTTTAGGTAGTCAAATTATTTCTAAAGAAAATCTATCAACAGAGTCACTTTACTTCCTCTTCTACCGTGTAAGTATACTTAACATGCTGTCTACCTTAGTGATTTCATTCTGTATCCCTTCTACAAGATTTCTTTATTTTATTCCCCATTTCCATATTATAATATTAGCAAACCAAAAGTTTATTTATGAAATTTTATCAATTCACTTGTGACTTTGACCTGTTCCAGCCTACTTTTCTCATCTTTATAGCCTTGGATTATTTTATTGCATAAATGAGAAATCAGGATAACAAGCAATATTACGTGATATGATCTTTGTTTTGCACTCCTAAGATTCCGTGGATGGCACTAACAGTTTGTGCTCAACTGCTAACCTTAAAATTGGCAGTTTGAAACCATACACAGCATCAGAGAAAAAAAGATCTGCTCATGTTCTTCCATAGAGATTACAGTCTAGGAAACCCTATGGAGCAATCGTACTCTACAACACAAAGAAGTTGCTATGAGTCAGAAATGACTTGCGGGCAAGACAGTTGATTTATATTTATTTATGTATTCATTTATTTATGATGGCCCACAGCTAAATCACTAACTTTCAATCTTTTGCTGTATGGGCACCAAGAGTATGATCATAATGGTGACTGATTTTCATGCCTAGTAGGAGTCTTCAAATTTTATCTTTTGTGTACTATAACATTGTAGTCAGAATTCTGGTATAACCCTATAGGATAAACACTGGATTGCCAACCTCAAGGTTGGTAGTTCAAACCCACCAAGTGCTCCTCAGAAACCCTACTATACAGGGTTGCTATGAGTCAGAACCGACCCAAATGCACGTCACAAGAGCAACAACATAGGTTATAGTCAGTAGTTTTTATACTTTATTTCATCATGAAATCGTTTTTAAAAGCAGTTGTCACGGAGCTGATGCCCACTTTTGGTGACCCCATGTAATTCAGAGTAGAATCATGCAGCATCCATTTTCTATGGCTGCTTTTTTGTAAGGAGGTCACTAGGTTTTTCTTCTGGGATGCCTCTGAATGTAGTCAAACATTTAACCTTGTGGTTACAGCTGACATGCTAACCATTTACACCATAAACGAAATCACAATGGGGTCATTACGTAATATGCCATTTTTAATATGTTGCTATGCTGAACGAACTCAAACCTAAATTTTATATTATTATGACAAGCCACTTGTAAAGTAAAAATAAACAACTGGAATCTAAATCCAAATATGTTTGTCTTAGAAATATGCTGCTGTTGTTTATAGAAAGAAGTCGTCATACTGATTTTGGTCGATATTTTCTTTTCAGGTACCAAAGTCTCCAAACAGGTAGTTTTGGACTTACCTAAAAATGTTGTACAAGGATCTGCCAGGGCCTTTTTCACTGTTGTGGGTAAGCTGATGAAATTTTGTGTTTTAAAGTAATTTGAAAATCTTGGTGGAGGTGGTCTCAAAAAAAATCTTGAAATAATCTTAAAATAAAGATTCTCTTCAGCTATCACTTGGAGGAACTTATTGTCCAGAATCATCTTTTATGATTATTCCCATACAGCATCTAAAGGGATTATAACACCATTTCCAAACCTATGTTCCTAGGAAGCATTAATTCTAGGGGCAAAAAAAATGTTCTAGTATAACCAAATAACCTAAAATATTGAATTTCCCTCTTGGAGTATCAGAATAAAATTTACCTGTTAAAGGTAACTTCCTCAGTAAAAGGAGAAATCTCTTTTACAAAACACAAACTTCATTTTTGTCTTATTATTCACATTAGTGTCCTTTGGGAAAGAATGGATTACAATTTATAAAGAACCTATTCGTAAGGTCAATTTCTCAAAACAAAAAAAAAAAAGCAAGCAAACTAATACAATCCCTCTCACCCTAGTAATAAGAATCATAAGTTTTCAGAAATATCTTTATACCAGAAATCCCTATAATTCACTCTTTATAACTACCTTCTCTCTAGAATTGTTTCAATTAAAACTTGTGTACTCAATTTTCAATGTTTTGGGGTTTTTTTTAACCCCATTATACCTCTTTGTCTGTGGTTATAAATGCTGAGATTATATGTTACAAATGATTACCTTTTCACTTTTCTGAATTTCAGGAGATATTTTTGGACTTGCCATACAGAATCTGGAGAATCTTGTCCAAACGTCCTATGGATGTGGAGAGCAGAATATTGCCTTACTAGCATCTGACACCCATGTCCTTGACTATCTGAAAGCCACTGGACAGTTGACAGAGGAAGTCAAATCTAAAGCTGTCTTTTTTTTATCTAGTGGTGAGAAGGCTTAAGTTGTTTCTAAATGAAATAAATGCAGTTATTAATAATATCAAGATGTAATAAAGCTGTAATTAAAAAATAGTATAAGGAGGAAAAAAGTGAACATTAATTGGAGTACTCTGGTAGCATAGTGGCTACGAATCGGGCCGCTAATCTCATGGTCAGCAGTTCGAAACTACCAGCTGTTCCACAGGAAAAAGATGAGGCATTCTGCTCCCATAAAGATTTACAGACTTGGAAATCCTATGCAGGGTCGTTATGAGTCAGAGTCAACTCCATAGCACATAACAATATAACAACAACAACAACTCTGAGTCCAAGCTACATTTTCTCTTTGACTTAAACCTTTCCAAAATCTTTATGAATTAGAACTGTGAAGCTTCAAATTATGAGCTCAGTTATTTTCTTAAAAATCCAATATTTTGTCAAGATACCACATTTGTTGTTGTTAATAATAGTTATCAATGGTTCATTTATCAACATCTAAACTTATCTGCTCAGCCATGTTCTATTGACATGAAGTCACTGGATTTGTATGTAGAAAAAGGACATTTAAAAAAAAACAAAAAACTTGTAAAATGTTATCTTAAGGACATAGTTTAGATACATAATTTCATAGACCTTTCTTTTCAGAAAGATAACAGTGAAGTAAAATAACTTCAAAAAAAAGGGGGGGTATTAAGCAATTGTTGTTGGTGTTAAGTGTCGTGTGAGTTAGTGTCAACTTATAACAACCTTGTATAAGGTTTGTGAGGAATAGCTGATGGGTTTGAACTGCCAACCTAATTGCCAACTGTGAGTTATTTTATTGAGCAAGGCATATGCATGCATAATATCTTATTTGTCATTGAAACCCCATAATATTGGCCTTATTTTTCCACATTTGTGGAGAGAAACTTAGTTTCAGAAATTTAATTGATATTCCTAGTAACTTATACCAGGACATTCATTATACCTTTTTTTTTTTCTTTTTCCTTATAACTTTCTTGGGTTAAAAAGTAATTTACTTCAATATTGTATTTTAGGTTATCAAAAGCAGTTGTCTTTCAAAAACTCTGATGGCTCATATAATGTGTTTTGTCAAAGCAATCCACTAGGAAACATATGGTAAGGGATGAAAATTGTATTGTAAATAATGATAAGAATTCCCTAGGGAAAGTCTGGCAGAACGTAAGACTGAGTTCAATGGGGATTTGGAAGCAAAATGGATTTTGTAGAAGAGAGATTGTTCTAAACCTTTGATCACAAGTAAAATGCTTGGGTTAAAACCAGGTTTGTGGTGCTTTCAGCAATATTGTATCAACCTTTTCACACATGTCTGCCCTTGGGCTTCTTATCTTGTGGTTGTGAAGTGCTGTGGAGTCGGTTCCGACCCATAGCGACCCTGTACAGAGTTTCCGAAGAGCAGCTGGTGAGCTTGAACCGCCCGCCGAGCTTGCAGTTCAAACTGCTTTGCGGTCTGTCGCATTAACCCACAGCGCCACACCGGGACTCCATGAACGACTAAAGGAATGTTTTCTCTGTGGTCAAGTCAGGATTTGGAAGGAGTGTACTCCAAGGGAGGGCGTTTTGACGCAGATGCAGTGGTGTAAAATGGCTTTAAAAAATATTCCTTTCATGATAAAGGTATAGAAACAAAATATCAAGAAGAAACCTTGGACAGCCAACTTGTTATCTAAATTCCTCAGGCAACCAAGGAAGTTTTACTTGGGCAAGCATTTTCGAAGGAAGGCTCCTTTTAGTGACTTCTAATCTCCAACTCCGGCTTCAAGAAATGTTTTATATAAGGAGCTCTGGTAGCATAATAGTTATGAGTGAAGCCGCTAACTTCAAGGTCAGCAGGAGAAGGATGAGATTTTCTGCTCCTGTAAAGATTTACAGCCTTGTTAACCCTATACAGGGTCGCCTTAAGTCGGAATCGACTCCATTGCACACCACCATCACCTTACAGTTTTATAATCAGTTCTGAAGAGTATGCATTGTAAGCGTCCTGTGAATATGATTGCAAATCTTTTAAGGGTAATCATCTATACAGGGGGAAGTATAAAATATTGCTTCAAAGTCATAGAAACCTTCATTAAACAAAAATATCAATATGTGAAGCTACTGCTTTTCACCATATCCTCCATCTATGTCTGTACACTTCTGAAAGCAGTGTTTCCATTCCTCTAAACTTTACCCCAAAGAATTCCATCAATTTACACTGCATCAAAATAGCAGTTTTGACATCCTTGAGGGACTTGATTCATGTTCCTTCTAAATGTTGAGTTTAAGGCACAAAAAGAAGTCTGAAGGGATAAGATCAGAGCTACAGGGTGGTTGGGGTAAAGTTTCCCAACCAAATTCTTATAGGACAGATCTAGCTGCTTTCAAAGAATGAGCAGGTACATTGCTGTGATGGGAAAAAATTCTTAGACATAACTTTCCTGGTCTTCTTCTCACCAAGCCAGTTGTCAGTTTTCTTGAAACCTCTGCCTAATTAGCCCCCATGATATTTTTTAAATATTTTTTTTTACCTATGATTCCTTGGGAATCAAAAAACCAGTGGCATGGTGATGTGGATTAATATGCTGAACTGCAAAGCCACTTTGAAATGCAAGGTCAGCAGTTCAAGTTCACCAGCTGCTCCTTGTAAACCCCATGCAAGGCTGCTATAGGTCAGAACTGACTCGATGGCACTTCACAAGATAACCTTCTGAGCTAACTTTCTGCCTTGAATTGAACTGACCCCCACAGAAACCAGCACCCCGCAGAAGTCACTGTTTTGATTGGACCTTTTTTAAAGGCACCTTAACAAGACTAAGACAAATGTGTTACTGAGAGAACTTGCATGTAGTCATCCACTGATCAAAGATATGTTTAAACACATTTTGTTTGGAATAAATGCATACATGTATGAACTGAAACACCAGTACCAATACTTTTTTACTTACTTTCATAGTTGTGAAACTGATTAACTGAATAGAAATGGTTCATTTTAGTCTGTGCCTATAAAGTCCATATAGATTAAAGAAAGTAAGACTAGAAAGACCCAAAGCCCCTGGCTACATTCATCTGTTTTCTTGTAAGAAGAATCTAATGGGCTATACAGCAAAAACTTTGGTTGTAAACACATTGATTATTGCCTGCTCTAACTCACACACATTGCTATTAATAAGATTATATTGACCCAAAACAAAGAAATACTATCAACAAAGACTGGTTCTAATCAACATTAGATAAATTGGATTCATCAATTACCCAAAGGGTTAATGATGATGAACTTGCATAGCTCTCTTTTTCCTTTTTACCTTTCATTCTGATGATTTACATTACAGGCTCACTACCCTTACTTTTAAGACATTTGAAGTAATGAAGAAATATGTTTACATTGATGAAGAAGTTCAAAAACAAAGCTTGATCTGGCTTTCAAGCAAACAGAAAAGTAATGGCTGCTTTAAAAGTGAAGGCAAACTTTTCAGCAACGCCTGGGAGGTGAGAGACTAATGGAAGTCTGTGTTCTTTGCATTGTCTACTTCCTTATTTCTGGTTTTCATAATCTAGAACATGAGTATTTTCCTTGTGCATTTTTCCCCTTCTAGGACTTCTGTAGTCCTAGGCCCATGGTGTATTTTTCAATAGCATCATTCCTGGGGCATGCATGTTTAACTGCAACTGCGATGTAACTCCTCATGAATCTTCAATTTTATTTACCTTAGTCTTTAGTCTTTCCATAGAATTAGACTCTTGCAGTAGATAACCTGGAAATAGGAAAATGGGGTAGGGAAAGGGAACCTAGATATAGAACATTGCTTTGGAATCAAACAATATGAAAGGAAAAAAATGCAGATGAATTTTCTACCTCCATTCTACTTTTGTATACTTTATTTCCTTCACTTTTGTGTTGTTGTTGTTGTTGTTAAGTGCCTTTGAGTCGGAGCCGACCCATAGCGACCCTGTACAGGGTTTCCGAGGGTGTAAATCCTTACGGGAGTAGAAAGCCTCATCTTTCTCCCGCAGAGCGGCTGGTAGTTTCGAACCACTGACCTTAAGGTTCGCAGCCCGATTCGTAACCACTACGCTACCAGAGCTCCTTTTGTATTTCCCTCTAAATGCTCAAAACCCCTACCATGGGATTATAGTATGCTCGGAATACCCTGAAATATCTGGGCCTATCTTCTGTGTTCTACTTCATACATAATCACCTTTCTTGGATTTTGAAATATAAAACTGATTGAACAAATCCACTTCAAAATCTGGATTGGTAACTCCTCATGGTATTTAATTTAATGTAAGTTGTTTCAAATTACTTTTATTTTGTATGTGGTGTGAGGAAATGTCTTAAATTATTCTAAAACTACCTGTAAGCAGGAAGACTCAGATGGAAAAGTTCTTGTTCGTCTCTAAAAGAATTAAAGACTTGCCCAAGTTCTCTTCTAAAAGATCTTTCCAAATCTTTTATCTTACTAAATTAATTACTAATTACTGCTTCAGTTTGTCTAAGCTTGTCCAATCCTTTTGTACTCAAATAGTGAAATGCATGTGGTGTTTTGTTGTAAGAGACAAAGACGCAAGAAAAAATGAAAACTTGCACTATAGAGGAGTGGTGATACAACTTGCTATGAATTAAGTGTGCTTTGGATTCCATATCTTATTTTAGGTTCCACCATCTGCACTTATTTACACCTTGAATATTGAGTTTCTCAGATGTATTTATTTTCTGAGGAAGAATAAAGCTATATTTCATTTCAAAGGCAATTATAACTTTGATCTAGATCAGTGAATCATAAATGCCAATATGAATGCTTATTTGCATTATAATTATTAGAGCATCTACTAAAGTTCATTTCTTTATATTTTATTCCTAACTTTATGAGTCAAAATCCCTTGTACAAATTGTTGTGCATTTAATGTTTAAATCCCTTACTTAATCTTGACATATAGTCAATTTGCAAATCATATGTTTTATATCCCACCACTCATCTGTCAGTGTATCGCACTGTGATGACTTGTATGTTGCTATGATGCTGGAAACTATGAGACCCATATGTTGAATGTCAGCAGGCATCAGCTGAGCTTCCAGACTAAGACAGACTCAAAGAAGTAGAGTCAGACTACCTCTGAATATTTAGCCACTGAAAACATTATGAATAACAATGAAACACTGTCTGATGGCACCAGAATATTGATTATTGAAACATGACAAAGAGCACAAGAATCTTGTCAGATAGAGTGCTGGAAGATGAACCCCTCAGATTGAAAGGCACTCAAAATATGACTGGGGAAGAGCTGTCTCTTCAAAATACAGCTGACCAGGACAACACAGATGCAATAAACTTTTAGGACCTTCATTTGCTGATGTGTACAATACAAAATGAGGAGAAACACTTCCAAGAATCCATTAATAATTGCAATGTGGAATGAATGTACAAAGTATGAATTTAGGAAAATTAGAAGCTGTTAAAAATGAAATGGAAATCTTAATGATCAATATCCTAGTGAGCTGAAATGGATTGTCTTTGGCCATTTTGAATCTGACAATCATATGGCTTACTAAGCCAGGAATGACAAATTGAAGAGCAATGTATTCATTATCAAAAAGAGCATTTCAAGATCTGTCTTGAAGTATAATGTTGTCAATGATAGGATAATATCCATACACCTACAAGGACTCATGCTATGGCGCTGTGGGATAATGAGTTAGACTGCAAAGTCATTTGAACTGCAAGTCGGCAGTTCAAGCTCACCAGCTGCTCCTTGGAAACCCTATACAGGGTCACTATGGGTCGGAATCAACTCGCCAACACTTAACAACAACAACAGCAAGGACTCAGTAGGATCAGCAGTAGACTTCAAATCACAAGGTTGGCAGTTCAAACCAACCAGCTGTTCCTCACAAACCGTATACAATTCAATGGCACATAACAACAAAAACAAGGCAGACCAGTTAATAGCACTATTATTCACATTTATGCACAAACCACTAATGCCAGTGATGATGAAACTGAAGAATTCTACCAACTTCTTCAATCTGAAGTTGACAAAACATGCAAGCAAGATGCATTGATAAGTACTGGCGATTGGAATGCCAAGGTTGTAAACAAAGAAGAAGGGACAGTAATTGAAAAATATGATCTAGGTGACAGAAATTATACTGGAGATCACATAATAGAATTGTGCAAGACCAATGACTTCCTCAGAGTCCTGGTGTGGCACTGTGGGTTAATGAGCCAGATTGCAAAGGTCAGTGGTTTAAGCTCACCAGCTGCTCCTTGGAAACCCTATCCAGGGTCACTATGAGTCAGAGTCGACTTGACAGCACTTAACAACAACAACAATGACTTCCTCACTGCAAATACCTTTTTAAACAACATAAAAGATGATTATACGTATGGACTTCACCAGATGGAATACACAGAAGTCAGTTGACTCAATCTGTGGAAATAAATTATGGAAGAGTTCCATATATCAGCTAAAACCAGACTGTGGAGCAGACCATCAATTGCTCATAGAAAATTTCAGGTTGAAGCTGAACAAGTCCATGAGAGCCAAAATATATCCTTAAATATATCCCACCAGAATTTAGAGATTATTCTCAAGAGCAGATTTGATGCATTAGACACTAAAAAGACCAGAAGAATTGCTGAATGGCATAAAGAACATCATACAGAAAGAAAGCAAAAGGTCATTAAGAAAGACAGAAAATATCAAAATGGAAGTTAGAAGAGATTCTGAAATGCGCTCTCCAGAATAGAGATGCTAAAGCAAATGGAAGAAATGAGGAGGTAATGGAGCTGAATAGAAAATTTCAAAGGGCAGCTCAAGAAGACAAAGTCAAATATTATAATGAAATGTGTAAAGAAGACCCGGAGTTAGAAAACCAAAAGGGGAGAACATGCTCAGCATTTCTCAAGCCAAGGGAACTGAATTAAAAATTCAAGTGTTGACTTGAAATACTGAAGGATTATTAGGACAAAATATTGAATGATTCAGAAAGCAACAAAAGAAGATGGAAGGAATATGCAGACTCACTGTACCAAAAGAAATGGCCAATGCTCTGCCATTTCAAGAGGAAACATATGATCAAGAACCAATGATACTGAAGGAAGAAGTCCAATGTGCACTAAAGGCATTGGCAAAGAACAAGGATTTGGGAATGATGGACTACAAATTGAAATCTTTCAACAAACTGATGAGGCACTGGAGGCATATTTGTGCTTGTTCCAAAAAGAGCTGACCCAACAGAATGCAGAAATCATTGGACAGTATAATTAATATCACATGCAAGTAAAATTGTTATAAAGATACTTTAAAAATGACTACAAACTTGGAAACTGCCAGAGGTTCAAGATGGATTTAGACAAAGGTGTGTAATGAGGGATATCATCACTAACCTCAGATGGCTGAAAGCATAAAATACCAGAAAGATGTTTACCTGTGCTTTATTCACGGTGCAAAGGCTTTTGACTGTGTGGATCATAACAAGGTATGAACAGCATTATGAAGAATTAGTATTCCAGAACACTTCATCACACTCAGGAGAACCTGTTCGTAGATAAAGAGGCATTTGTTCAAAGAGAACAAAAGGACACTGGGTAGTTTAAAATCATGAAAGGAGAGTGCAAGTGTTGTATTCTTTCACTATACTTATTCAAACTTTATGCTGAGCAAATAATCTGAAAAGTTGGGTTATATGAAAAAGAATGTGGCCTCAGGATTGAAGGAATTCATGAACAACCTGCAATATGCAGATGATGCAACTTTGCTTGCTGAAAGCAAAGAGGACTTAAAATACTGATTGATTAACATAAAAAACCACAGTCTTTAGAATGGGTTTTACCTCAATGTGAAGAAACCATAAATTCTCACAACTAGACAAATAAATGACATCCTGATAAATGGAGAAAAGATTGAGGTTGTCAAAGATTTCATTTTAGTTGGATCCACTATCAACATTCATGGAAGCAGCAGTCAAGAAGTCAAATGACATATTGCATTAGTCAAATCTACTGCACAAGACCTCTTGAAAAGTGTTCAAGAGCAAAGATATCTGTTTGAGGACTGAGGTGTGCCTAACACAGGCCATGATATTTTCAATAATCTCACGTGCATGGGAAAGTTGGACAATGACTAATACCATAGAAGAATTGATACATTTCAATTATGGTATTTGAGAAGAACAAACAAATCTGTATTAGAAAAAGTACAACCAGAAAGTTCTTAGAAGCTACGATGGCCAGACTTTTTTTCTTACACTCGGACATATTATCAGGAGGGACCAGTCTCTGGAGAAAGATATCATGTGATCATGTGTGGTCAAGTGGAGAGTCAGTATAAAAGAAGGAGACTCCCAATGATATGGATTGGCACAATGTCCACAGCAATCAGCCCAAGAATAGCAGTAATTGAAGCTGGCACACAACTGGGCAGTGTTTCATTCTGTAGTATATAAGGTCTCTATGACTTGGAACTGATTCTATGGCATCTAACATCAACAGCAACTATGCTTTATATATAGCTTTCTAATTTTATACTGAAAAAACCCAGTAGACTTGACTATCGTAACCTCCTCTTGGTACTTTTCTTCAACTTTTTAGGATGTTTCATATCAACTTGTTATTTTTACTAGATAGTCTTTGTTTGCTTTTTATAAGTCAATACAAAATAGTCAAACAGAGTCATAAGAATAGCTTGGAATTCATGTTCCATACTGGGTCATATAAATATGACTACATATGTCATTAAATATAATCAGGATTAATTTTGTTTTATCTCATTATAGCATTGGATCTTGATGAATTGTATCATAGCTATTAATCCTGTAATTTAAAAATTGCATGTTTTCTAGTGTTTATGCATAATAGTATTTATTCCAGTATTTCTTTTATACCTAGTTTCACATCAGTAAAATACCTGTAATTTTGTGCTTTACTACCCTGTATGACTCATTACGTCTTTGTGTCTAGGGTGGAGATGAAGAAGATGTTTTACTCACTGCCTACATTGTTGGATCACTTCTTGAAGCTGGACTCAACTTCACTGTATGGATTCCCTTCATCTTTTTGTTTCAGCACATTCCATAGACTATAACATCTTTAGAAATTCTTAGACTTGTTGAAACATGAAAAGAACATTTTGCTCATCACTGCCCTTTGAAGTGAAGCAAATCATACTTTTTGATTCATAGATTTCTATGAGGAGCACTATTAGCTTTTTCCCTAGGAGTAATGCACATGTGTACACATAAACAAGTTTTTCATATAATTGTTATTTATGTATCTCCTGAAATTAAGCCACAAATTAAAGTGAAGAACCTCTGCTCTAAATATAGATATAACTAAATATTCTATTTCTCTCATAAATTCCATGTACAAACATTTTTTAAAAACTTTTTCTTGCAAATTGGGCGAAGGTTTACAGCAAGATCATCAGTTTTAAATTCACTAAATCATGTACTTTCTTTCCTCTAAGTGATTGCAATCCCCTCCCAGCAACAAGTATCCTGCTTCTTCCTGTGGTTCTTATTCCCATTAATCCACCTTCCCATCCCTTCTCAACTTTATCCCTAGGTAAATGTTGTTCTTTTGTTTATGAATAACTGACAATTCCATGGTGAGATACCTCACTAGTGTTGTTATACCCCTATAAACCTATTTATTGCTTGACTGAAAATTGGGCCACAAGAGTGAGTTCCTTTCCAGACCATAGTCTCAGGTTCCACCAGTCTCTTTCTGACCAGTAATCTTGTTTTTTGTTGTTGTTGTTGTTTTGTTTTTTTTGTTATCATTTTGAGTTTTGTCCACATTTTCTCTCCTGCTCTATCTGGAACCTTCTAATATTGTTCCTTTTGGAACAGTTGGTAGTGTCAGCCAGGCACCATCTAGTTCTTATGGCCTTAGAGTCATGGAGACTGATGTTCACATTGGGCAAATATTTTTAACTAGGATGTGGTTCATCCTAACTATCTCCTGATACATAGGTCAAATTATTTGATTCCAATCTCTAAATTAAGCTATTAGGAATTTTCAGGATTATTAGTATATCTCAAAAATAGGAATGTAAATGTCTCTTTTAGGTATTAGAATTAAATGTCTTAGGTTTAATTAAAAATGTACTTTGCCACATCATAGAAATTTATATTACTAATAAAAATATTGCTACTCAAAACCCTATACAGGGTCACTATGGGTGAGAGTCAACTTGACAGCACTTAACAATCAGATAATGTTGTTGTTAAGTACCATCAAGTCAGTTCTGACTCATAACAACCCTGTATAGGGTTTCTAAGGAGCAGCTGGTAAACTTGAACTGCCAGCCTTGCTGTTCAAACCAACCTGCAGTCCAATGCATTAATCCACATTACCACACCAGGACTCTAACAATTATAACCTTTTATTTTATTATTACTTAAATTTTTATTTCTAACATACTAATAATGTCATTTCAAATTTATTTTAACAATGTTTCTGAACTTTAATGCCTATGAGAGGGTTTCAGAAAGTTCATGGAAAAATGGAATTAAAAGATAAAGGAATTTTTCCACTGACTTTTTGAAGCCTTCTTGTATTTATGTGTATAAATAGGTTTGTGTATGAAATATACCTGAAGGATATATTACTATATTTTAGTTAGTCATCAGATTTGTAACGTGTTCAAGTAGTCTTTATAATATATTCTTCTTCTTCTGTCTAGTTTCCTTTTCTAAGAAATGGATTGTTTTGCATAGAGGAGACATTGAAAACTGGTGTCACTAATGGCTATAACCAAGCAATTCTAGCGTATGCTTTTGCATTAGCTGGAAAAGAGGAGCAAGTGGAATCTTTACTCCAGATCCTGGATCAATCTGCAACAAAAATAAGTAAGTGTTAACATCCATTCTTGCTGAAGAGAATAGTAATTAAACTTAATATACAATCATATAGGAACCCTCTCATCACTAGCATGTTTCTATCTATTTTATGGAATTTCTCAATTGTGATGGCTCTTTTCTTAGTTACCTAGTACAGTCACACACACACACACAAACTGCATGTGTGACTTTAAAGAGCAAGTGTTCATTGTGTCACAGTTTTCTAGACTAGAAGTCTAAATCAAGGCATTGGCTCTAGAGAAAAGTCTGTCTTTGTTGCTAGCCCTGCGTGCTCCTTGGTATTCCTCAGCTATCTGTAGACGTATCGTCACATGCCACCTGTCTCCCTACTGTGTGAGTGTGTCTCTCTCTGTTCATCTTGCCTTTTTATAAGACACCACTTAGAAGGGCACTATGGATAAAGGAGGTCTGGTAGCATAGTGGTTATGAATTGGACTGCGAACCGCAAGGTCAGCAGTTCGAAACTACCAGCTGCTCCGCAGAAGAAAGATGAGGCGTTCTGCTCCCGTAAAGATTTACAGCCTCAGAAACCCTGTTCAGGGTCAGAACCGACTCGATGGCACTTAACAACAACAACAACATGGATTAATGTGATGGACTGCAAGGTTGCTTTGAACTGCAAGGTCGGCAGTTCAAATTTACCAGCTGCTCCTTGGAAACCCTATACAGGGTAGCTGTGTGTTGGAACCCATTCGATGCCACTTAACAACAAAACGGTTTAGGACACAGTCTACTCCAATATGACCCCATTAATGGAGTCCTGGTGTGGCGCTGTGGGCCAATGCGCCAGGCTGCAAAGCCGTTTGAACTGCAAGGCTGCAGTTCAATCTCACCAGCTGCTCCTTAGAAACGTTATACAGGGTGGCTATGGGTCGGAATCAACTCAACAGCACTTAACAACAACAATGTAGCAAAGGTGTATTGCCTTATTAACATAACACAAGAAAATCATATTTCCAAACAGGCTCATACTGATAGGTACAGAGGTTCAGACTTCCATATTTGTTTTGAGCCAATTAAATTTATTCTGTAATAGCTTTTTATCTTTAACGGTCATTTCATATTTTTCTATTTCTTTCTTTCTGTTTTCTGCCAGTTTCTTCTCCAATGAATGAAGTAAAAAATCAAGTATAGTAACTATGCCATAGATATTAATAATGCTTGCCAAACTCACATAGCCTTTTGGACCCTGTTATTTTTGTTGTTAAGTGCCGTGGAGTCAATTCCAACTCAGAGTGACCCTGTATAGGGTTTCCAGGGAGTGGCAGATGGGTTTGAACAGCCGACCTTGTGGTTAGCAGTCCAATGCTTATCCTACAGTGCCACACTGGGATTCCAGGAAGTTGCTATTTGCAGCCAACAATGGAATTTACCTCCTTCTTAATTGTAATCAATGCTTTTTATAATGGTTGTATAAAAATTCTCCCTTTTTCTCAGATAATATGATATATTGGGAGAAAGCAAGGAAGCCCAAGACAGAAGAACACCCCGTTTTCCTTCCCCGGACACCTTCTGCTGAGTCTGAGAAGACCTGCTATGTGCTGTTAGCTGTCATTTCCCAGAAAACTCCTGACCTCACCTACGCTAGTCAGATAGTGCAGTGGCTTTCCAAGCAGATGAATTCCCACGGAGGTTTCTCCTCCACCCAGGTAATTGATGGGGCCAGAGATTAATAACAACATGTGAAATGCAAAAGATGCTACCCTATGATAATCCAGATAGCAAAGGTAATCACAGAAAAATACTTTGTGAGAGGTAGAATATTTGATATTAGAAATCCTATTTTATTTAGTGAAAAATTACTTATTGGGCAGTTATTATTTATCAGGCATTCTATTAGGAAGTTTCTGTATGCAAGTAACTAAAATAAGGCAGCTTTTTCAAGTGAAAAGTGAAGATCACTTGAAGCGCTGACTGATGAAATCAAAGATACTCATAACAAAACCAATAAACAATATCATGATAAATCATGGTGTTGGCAAAGAATATTGATTAATCATGGGCTAGAATAATCATTGAATCTGTCTTGGAAGAAATACAGTTAGCATGTTGCTTACAAAAGATGATTACAAGACTTTGTCTCATGTATTTTGGACTTGTTATCAGGAAGAACCAGACCCTGAAAAAGTATATCATTCCTGGTAAAGGTCAGCAAAAAAGAAAAAAGACCATCAGTAAAATGGATTGACATCCACCAGTTCATCTGAGGGAGAAAGATGAGGCTCAGCAATCTCATGCAGCAATTCTACCCTGTCCTATGGGATTGCTATGAGTTGGAATCTTGATGGCAATGGGGGGTGTGGCACTTGTAATACAATGGGAAAAGCAGATGAATTGAAAGTACACCAGGAGAAATACGTATTTCTTTAAAGAGAAATTTAAAAAAGAAAGAAAACGCCAGGAAATGAAGTTTTATTCTAAGAAGGAAAAGATCATCTTCACTTATTCTCTTTTTAACAGGCTTATTTTTTATTTATTTTTTTTTTTTTAAGTAAAGCCATGTTAATAGATCTCCCTGCATCCTTTTCTTTATCTGCTTTTCCTGCTTTGAAGATGACTGTCTATGAGCATTATTCAAGGAAACTGTGAGGTCACAGAATTATATAAAACCTTAACTTTTTTATTTATTTTTTTTTTTTTTATGAATTTGTACCACAAGGGACCTATCCCCATCTCCTTTCATTGTTGTTGTTGTTGTTAAGTGCCGTCGAGTCGGTTCCGACCCATAGCGACCCTGTACAGGGTTTCCGAGGCTGTAAATCTTTACAGGAGCAGAACGCCTCATCTTTCTCCTGCGGAGCAGCTGGTAGTTTCGAACTGTTGGCCTTAAGGTTCACAGCCCGATTCGTAACCACTACGCTACCAGAGCTCCTATCTCCTTTCATTAGCCCTGCCCAAACAGATTGGATACTACTCATTGGGGGATCTACCTTCCTCTGCGCCGTCTAGATCTAGGCTCCCTCTTGAAAGCTTGTAAGCCAGTAAGCCCCATTTTGGGTGGCCAATGTCCAAGTTGCCCATCCCTGTCTACTCTGTGTATGGATGGGGTGGGAATGATCCTCACTATAAAGGTTTGTTCCTTCTTTTTAGCTACTGCATCCATAGGTGTAAGTCAGGTTCATCAAATTGTATCAGATTACTCTTTTTTTTCCTCTTCTGTCTTCTTCTAATTGAGTTTTGATCATCCAGTCATTGAAGCCAGGTCAAGTGGGTATTATCTGCAAGTATGGATATTCTTATGCATATGCCCTCTCTTCTTACCAGCTGAACGCTTCACTCTCCACTCTAGTCCTCTGTGGCTATGTCACTGATTCTGAGCCCAAGAGTTCCCAAGTCTTGCCACACTGCTGGCCTACTAGGTCTCCACCTGGGTTTACAGGAGTATATTGAACGTTGTAGGGCTTAGCTCACTGTTGCAGACCGTGTAAGACTAGTCAGAGGTTCGAGCCCCTCTAGGGCCAAGTGTAACAAATGAGGCCACTGGCAGTTAATGGCAAATTGCTTTCATATTAATATTCAGGTATATATATTAAATTAATACACTGGAGCCTTTGACAATCCACAGATAAATGTGATATTTTCCTAAAGCCAAGACTAAAGATTGCAAGATTAAGCCTTTCTCCAAAGGATTAACTAAAAATATCTTAGCTACTTCACAGCTCTTTGTTCCATAGACAAAGAACCCATCCTCCCTAATCCTTTTCCAGGTGCAGCCCATTCACCTGGGCGTCTGGAGTCCTCCTGCAGACCTGGCTCAGGAAGCCGAAGCAGCAGGACTCTGCCCAAGCTTTTGTCTTTATCTCTCACCTTCCCCCAACTATGCTCAGGGGCTATAGATATGTTAATTGGGCCTGAGAATCCAAGTTGCTAGCCTGGGATTCCAACCACGAAGTAGGATGTAAAGTTACCTGAATGTCTGGAAAAGTACTGATGTTAGCTGTACCTTGCCTAAGTTCCTCCCAGCTTGGTGTGAAGCTCCTCCCCTGAATAAAGCAGAGGCCCGGGCCTCCCCAGGTGAGCATTACTGGTTGGCAGGCATGGGGTAAAGATGGCAGTGCATTGCTGGTTGGGAGGCATGGAGTAAAGATTGCGGAGCATTACTGGCTGGAAGGCATGCGGTAAAGATTGCAGGGCAGTGAGTCGCTGCCTGCAGAGGCCATGATGCCTGTACTCCCAAGCCTGCCCACCAGTGATGTATCCACCCTGGCTTTGGGGTGCCTCATTTTCTCTCTGTTTGTCTCCTTTTGTGTATTCTTGATATATATGAACCGCTGTCAGGTATCCTCTCCTCGTGAACTGAACCCCAATGTCGAGGCGGGTCCCCGACAGCTCACATCTTCATTGCTTTTTTCCCCTCATTTCCCTTAATCAGTGACAACCGTGGTCACCAATCAGAGTGCTTGTCTGGTCGTGTATTCCCATTGAGTCTTAATCTTGGAAGGGGGTTTGCCCTGAGGGGACCTGACCACTTGCCTTGATGTCTCCTGGGTGAGCAACTTGCTTGTTCTTACAGTAATCAGTTGGTCTGCCTATATTGTTTTGTATTTTTCATGTCTGTCTTTGTTCAAAGAAGTATCTTCTGTTCTTCTAGCTGCTGCAGGCTGGTCTACTTGTCCTCTCAAGTGGAAATTTTCCACCTCAGAAGTTTCTGGGTGAGGTTGAGGATTCCACCTATGGTCTTATGTAATGCAGAGGCTCCACAGGAAGCCTCCTTCTCTGGGCATGTTGTAGCCCCATTTTAGGTATTCCAATCAGTTATAGGCAGAAGACGGGCTTACAAGCTTTCTATGGTGATATCTCTGGCTATTTCTTTCTCTCCCCCCCAAGTGTTTATTTTATAATGGTATGCCAAGGACATATAAAACCTTGAATTTTAAGAAAAGATTTCACACTATTTTCAACAGCAGAGATTATGCTTTATAAAATCCTTTAGAAAACTAAAAGCTAATTAAGACTTATTGAATTAAAATAAATTTAAATAGCAGTAACTTTTAATATGCAAATGTATTTTTCCTTAGTTCAGAATATTGCTTCTTGGTATTATGCTAAATTGTTTTAAGAATATGTCTGTGGATTGACTTAAAGTTGATGCACAAATGACAATAACAGAGCTCAAATCTTTGCTTGTGCTGTTCTGTACAGGACACTGCAGTCTGTCTTCTCGCCATAACCCATTACATGAAGCTCACCTTCTCTAACGATCAAAACACTGTAACCTTTAGAATTGAAGAATTCAGTGAGGATTTCCAGGTTAACAGTGACAACCGCTTATTGGTCCAACGTTCAGAACTGCCAAAAGCACATGGACATTACACAGTAGATATGGAAGGACAAGGTTGTTCATTTGTCCAGGTAATATAAATCTACCTGCAATGGAAATGAATGTCTTCAATATGATTATCCATTTAATTTTTATGAAGTGTTATCTTTCCATGAGTCCCTCTCCTCTTTTTGTTTTTTATGTTTTCTAATCAATAGCTAAAAAGGCAAGATACTTTATGAAGAAGTACTTTTTAAGGTATAGCTTGACGATTGGGGAATAGCTAGAGGAATAACAGTATTAGGTATCCAATATCTTCATTAAATTATGTTGTTAACAACTCATATGTCTTCTTAAAACTAAGTGATTTCATTTAGCTTTAGCCCCTAATAGTAAAGATGTAAACTAAAGTACATTAATAATAGATCGTAGTGTAGTGGTTACCAATTGGGCTGCGAACCTTAAGGTCAGCGGTTCGAAACTACCAGCCGCTCCGCGGGAGAAAGATGAGGCTTTCTACTCCCGTAAAGATTTACACCCTCGGAAACCCTGTACAGGGCGCTATGGGTCGGAACCGACTCGATGGCACTTAACAACAACAGCAACAAGTTTCACTATATGGTAAACACTGATTTCTTATTATTTTCTGTCCTTTTAGGCCACCCTGAGGTATAATGTGCCTGCATCTAAGAAGGCATCTGGATTTTCTCTTTCCTTGGAAATAGTCAAGAAAAACTCTTCGGATTCACTTCAGACTAATTATAACCTAACAGTGACTTTCAAGTAAGTGTCGTGTTTTGAAATCAACTTCCAGGTTGATGCTAATATATTAAAATGTATTTTAAACACTAGTAAAGTAATCCTAGTGTGGTGCTGTGGGATAAATACTGGACCGCAAGGTTGGTTTCAATCCTTGGAAATCCTATACAGGGTAGCTATGAGTCAGAATCAAATCAGTGGCACTTAACAACAACAACAACAAAGTAATAATTATGAATACTGGTAACTATGACAAATGTATATCTTAAGGTAAATAAGAACTAGATTCATGCAAGCATAACTTGACAGTTTCTGCTTTACCAATATTCCAGAAGTATTTAGACATTTTTGTACAGAAGCACTGAAAGTTTGGGACAATGGAGATACTTTAAAAAAAAAAAAAAAAGACAAGCAAAGGTGGTCCTACAGTACCTCACAAATATTTACTTTACAAATTAAAAAAAAAAAGGAAAAGATTTTTTTTTTCAGAGTCGTTGTTAGGTGCCATTAAGTCACTACCTTCTAATAGTGACCGCAAACACGACCAAAATAAATGCTGCCCAGTCCTATACCAACCTAAGCCCGCTGCTGCTGCGGCTGTGCCAATCCACCTCAATGGGGGTCTTCCTCTTTTTCGCTGACCTTCCATTTTCCAAGCATGATATCCTTCTCCAGAGACTCTGTTCCAGCCTGATAATATGCCCAGAGTATGAAAGACAAAGTCTCACCATCCTGGCTTTTAAGGAGCATTATGGTTGTACTATTAACAAAACAGATTTGTTTGTTCTTATGGCAGCCTATGGTATTTTTCATATCCTCCTTCAAATATCAATTCTTGTAGTCTTCCTTCCTCTTTGTCCAACTTTTACATGCATATAAAGTTATTGAAAATATCATGGGCTTGGGTCAGGTGCACCTTAGTCCTCAAACCAACATCTTTGCCGTTGAACACTTTGAAGAGGTCTGCGGAGCTGATTTGCCTAATACAATATGTCATTTGATTTTTTGACTGCTGCTTCCATGAGTGTTGAAGGTTGATCCAAGCAAAATGCTGTCTATAACAATGTCAATCTTTTCTCCATTTATGTTGATGTTATTTATTGGTCCAGTGGTAAGGAATTTTGTTTTCTTTGCATTGAGTTACAACCCATATCAAAAGCTGTGGTCTTTGATCTTCATTAGTATATGTTTTAAGTCCCCTTTGCTTTCAGCAAGTAAGATTATATCATCTGCATATCACAGTTTGTTCTTATCTTCACAGAGGAAAAAATAAAATTTTTTTTTTTTTTCCCAGAGTGTTTTGTGGTTGTTAGGTGCCATCTGTGTGGTACCGACTCATAGCAATGCTATGGATAAAAAACCAAAACACTGCCTGCTTCTGCACCAAAGATCATTGCTGCTGTCGCTGTGCCAATCGATCTCATTGGGGATCTTCCTCTTTTTCTTTGACCCTCCACTTTACCAAACAGGATGTCCTTCTTCAGGGTCTAATCCCTCCTGATATATGTCCAACGTATGAAGGACAAAGTCTGGCCATCCTGGCTTCCAAGAAGCATTCTGGCTGTACTTCTCACAACACAGACTTGTTTGCTCTTTTGGCAGTCCATGGTATTTTCAATATTATCCTCCAGCGCCATAGCTAAAATGTATCAATTTTTGACTGCTGCATCCAGGAGTGTTGATGGTTGGTCTGAGCAAAATGAAGTCTTTGACAAATTCAATCTTCTCTCCATTTATCTTGATGCTATTTATTGGTCCAGGGGTGAGAACTTTTTTTTTTTTTTGCTTTGCTTTGCGGTGCAACCCATACCAAAGCCTGTGGTCTTTCATCCTCATCAATAAATATTTTAACTCTTCTTCGCATTTACCAAGCAAGGTTGCATCATCTGCATATCATAAATTGTTAATGAGTCTTCCTACAATCCTGAGTCCATGTTGTTATTCATATAATCCAGCTGCTCAGAGTCTGTGCTCAGCATACAGACTGAAGAAAAATGGTGAAAGAATACAATCCTGGCACACGCCTTTCCTAATTTTAAACCATTCCATTTTTCCATTCAAACAACTGACTCTTGGTCTATGCATACATTCTTGATGAGCACAATTAAGTGTTCCATAATACTTATTCTCTGCAATGTTGTCCATTGCTTGTCATGATCCACATAATCGAACACATTTGCGAAGTCAATAAAGATAAGTATACATCTTTCTGGTATTCTCAGCTTTCAGCCAAGTTCCATTTGACATCACCAGTGATATTCCTCAATATACAGTTGCAGCCATTTTTGAATTATCTTTAGTAAAATTTTACTTGCATGCCATATTGATGATATTGCCCAATGATTTCCACCTCTCTTTGGAATGGGCACAAATGTAGATCTCTTCCAGTCAGCTGGCCAAGAAGCGATCTTCTAAATTTCTTGACATAAGTGAGTGAGTGCTTCCAGTGCTGCATCAGTTTGTTAAAGGAATTCAATTTGTATTCCATCAATTACCAGTGCCTTGTTTTTTTCCAATGCCTTCAGTGTACATTGGACTTCTTCCTTCAGTACCATTGGCTTTTTTTCAAATGCTACCTCTTGAAATAGTTGAACCTCCACCATTTCTTTTTGGTCCAGTGACTCTGTATTCCTTCTTTATTCTTTTGATGTTTTCTGTTTCATTCGATATTTCTCCCATGGAATCCTTCAGTATTTCAAGTCAAGACTTGAATTTTTTCTTCAGTTCCCTCAACCTGAGAAATGCTGAGTGTGTTCTTCCCTTTTGGTTTTCTAACTTCAGGTCTTTGCACATTTCCTTACACTATTTGGCTTTGCTTTCTCAAGCTGTCCTTTGAAATTTTCTATTTAGCTCTTTTCTTCCATTTGCTTTAGCATCTCTACTCTGGAGAGCAAGTTTCAGTTTCTTCTGACATCCATTTTGATGTTTTATTTCTTTCTTGTCTTCTTAATGCCCTTTTGCTTTCTTCCTGTATGATATTCTGTATATCATCCCACAACTCTTCTGGTCTTTGGTTTTTAACCTCTAATGCATCAAATCTGTTCTTGAGATAATTTCTAAATTCAGGTGGGATATGTTCAAGGTCATATTTTGACTCTCATGGACTTGCTTTCATTTTCTTCAGCTTCTGCCTGAACTTGCATATGAGTAATTGATGGTCCGTTCCACATTCTGACCCTGGCCTTCTTTGAGCTGGTGATATAAAACTTTTCCACCGTCTCTTTCCACCCTGGCCTTGTTTCGGCTGATGATATAGAACTTTTCCACCATACTCAATTTAATTTCTGTGTATTCCATCTGATAAGGGTCATGTGTATAGTTGTCTTTTGTGTTGTTTAAAAAAGGAATTTACAATGAAGTCATTATCTTGTAAAATTCTATCATGTGATCTCCAGTATCAATTCTAACACCAAGGCCATATTTTCCAACCAGTGATCCTTCTTGTTTCCAACCTTTGCATTCCAATTGCCAGTAATTATCAATACATCTTAATTGCAAGTTTGGTCAGTTTCAGACCAAAAAAGTTAGTAGAATTCTTCTATTTCATTATCACTGGCTTTAGTAGTTGATGCATAAATTTGAATAATAGTGCTACTAACTGGTCTTCCTTATAGTTGTGTGGATATTACCCTAACATAGACAGTGTACTTCTTGTACTTCAAAACAGATCTGGAAATGTTATTTTTGAAGAAGTGACGCCATTCCTCTTCAATCTGTCATTCCTGGCATAGTAAAACATGGATTGTCATATTCAAAATGGACAATGCCACACATTTCAGTTCACTAATGCCTAAGATATCGATATTTATGCATCTCAAATTCAATTTTTATCATTTTCAATTTTCCTAGATTCATACTTCATACACTCCATGTTCCAATTACTAATGGATGTTCACAGTTGTTTCTCTTTATTTGAAGTATGCCCCATCAGCCAATGAATATCCTGAAGGTTTTACTCTATTCGCATCATCACAGTCAACTGTGCTTTGAGGAGGCAGCTCTTTCCCAGTCATATTTTGAGTGTCTTCACACTGGAGGAGCTCATCTTCTGGCACTATATCTGGCAATGTGCTGTTGCTCTTTATCATGGTTCAATACTTAATATTCTAGTGCTATCTGACAGTGTTCCACTGATATTCATAAGGTTTCCAGTGACTAGATACGTGGACATAGTCCATCTCTACTTCTTCCTAGTCTGTCTTTGTCTGGAAACTCAGCTGAAACCTGTCCACCATGGGTGACCCTGTTGGTATTTAAAACACCAGTGGCATAGCTTCCAGAATCACAGCAACCCACAAGCCACCACAGTACAATAGACAGATGAGTAGTGGTTCTTAAATTTTTTTATAAATTCCAAAGTATCTTAACTTTACTTGAGGAAATGTAGTTTGAAATTTTTTTCTTAGCATTTCTAACTGAACACATTGTGGCATTCTTAACTTCATGTCCCAACAACCGTACCCAAAGGCAGGAGAATAACCTAGAATATCTCTTAGGGACATACCTGTTTTATTATTAATTCTAGTTTTTGGTTTTTGAACAAAAATATCCTTTAAGTCTTGTACAAATCTAAGACTAACATAGTATATGCAATAAAAATTCATAAGCATAAGTTCTGATGCCTCTGGTAAGCTTAAAAGTGGAGGTTGAGGTGATTCTAGTTAAAGGTGAATATTATATGCTCCAACTATGTTAGTTTCCATCTTTTCTCTCCTCGTCACTCTTGATTTACTCATACTTAGTTGCTAGAGAACAGTTTTCTTCAGATGCTTCCTAGAGACTTCCAGTCAGTTATTATTTACTAATATAGTACCTTCAAGAAAAGCAGTGAAATTTTTTTTCTTTCTTTTTAATTATGTGTTTGTTTGTTTTTTAAATTTCAGCTACACTGGAATTCGCAATGACTTCAAAATGGTCCTTGTTGATGTAAAAATGCTATCAGGGTTTACTCCAGTCATGTCATCTCTTGAGGAGGTAAATAATAGGTCAATATTTAAGGACAAAAAAAAAAGAATATGGTGTTAGAGAAAATAATTAATTGGTTAGGGAAATGGAACCATGGAATTCTTCATTTAAACACACACACACACACAAAAAAAAAAAAAAAAAAAAAACTTACTCAGAGTTCACATTTATCTTTTTCCTGTAACCCTGGATGAATGGTGTTCTTAACTGGTAGCAATTAGTATTCATTATTTTCCATAATGCATGATAGATTTCTTTATCTAGCTCCCTACTTGTGCTTATCAAAATATTATGACATAATAAGATCATCCCATTAACTATCATTAATTCCAATATCTACCCCTGTCACTCCCTACCAATTTTTTTTCAAAGCTGGAAAACAGTGGTCAAGTGATGAAGACTGAAGTCCAGAATGGTCATGTTCTTTTCTTCTTGGAAAGTGTAAGTTCAGAAATAAGTTTTGCTTTCCTGTTTTTTCTTGATTTCCTCTGAGGATAAATGAGTAATTCTATTTTTTATAGATATACCTGAAAATATTTTTCAAAAATTAAGAAACATTAACCCAATTTTTAAATGGCCTTAAATAGACATTTCACCAAGGAGGACCTTTAAATGGCCACCAAACACATGAAAAGATGCTCAGCATCATTAGTCATCAGAGGGATGCAAATCAAAACCACGAAGAGATACCATTTCACTCCCACTTGGATGGATGGCTAAAGCAGCTCTGGTAGCCCAGTGGTTATGAGTCAGGCTGCTAACCTCAAGGTCAACAGTTTGAAACTACCAGCCGTTCTGCAGGAGAAAGATGAGCTTTTCTGCTCCTGTAAAGATTACAGCCTCAGCAACCCTATGCAAGGTCACTTTGAGTCAGAACTGGCTGCCCAGCAGCACACCACCATCACCAGGATGTCTAAGGTTTAAAAAACTGAAAACAACAAATGATGTCAGTTATGGGGAAATTGGAACCCTGGTTTAATGCAAAATAGTATGACCGTTGTAGGAAACAGTGTGATGGTTCCTCAAGACTTAAAATAGAACTTCCGTATGTCCCAGCAAGTCCATTCCTAGTGAAAATCCCAAACAACTTGAAAGCAAAGACTCAAATAGAGACTTGTACACCAATGTTCATTGCAGGACTATTCACAATAGTACTTCCAAAGGAGGAAATAACCTCTATGCCAATCAACAGATGAATGGTTAAACAAAATGTAGGACACATATACAGAGAAATACTACTCAGCCAGTAGGAGAAATAAAGTCTAGATAACGCTACAATATGGGATGATGATCTGGGAAACATCATGCTGAGTGAAGTCAGTTAATGAGGAAAGGACAAATATTGGATGACCTCAATATATAAAAATACAAGAAAAGACAAATATAGAAAGAACAAAGTCTGTTAGTGGTTTCCAGGGACAGGAGGTAGGGAGAAAGTGGAGAGAGGTTAATAATGATGGAAATATTGCATTGATTATGGGTAAGGTTGCACAGCTGATAGCTGCATTTGCTGTCAATACGTTGTACACCTGTAAAAAGCTTAATTGGCAAAAGTCATGTGATAGATAAAATATATACATAAAATAAGAAAAATAAATAAAAAGTAGTTGCTAAGGCTGCTTATATGCAACTTAAAACCTCATGAGATTTGGTTTCTTGGGGTTATCGAACAAGTCATAGGAATTCCCAATTAAGTGTCCTAGTAAAATGTTTAGTGTTTCTGCTTTACCTCCTGCATGAACATTTTATTAGATCATTTAACTGGGAATTCTCATGAATAGGAGATAAAACAGAAATATTAAACCCTTCATTTGTCCACTTGTTGTAAATATATCTATCATCGACTTTTGCCAGTTCAACTTTTGTAGGTATACAATTTATTGATAGCAATTACAAAATTTAGCTGTGTAACCCTACCCTTAATCAATTGTGTAGGAAGAGACCTGGAGCTATGGGTTAAGCATCAGGCTGCTAACTGCAAGGCTAGCAATTCAAAGCCATCAGCTGCTCCTGGAAGAATGATGAGGTAGTCTGCTCCTGTCGAGATTTCCAGTCTTGGAAACCCTATAGAGCAGTTCTACTCTGTCCAGTAGGGTAGCTGTCAGTCAGAATCGACTCAGTGGCAGTGGGGGGTGGAGAGTTGTTGCATAGTGCCTGAGGTCCTAGAAGTTTGCAAGTGACCATTCAAGATACAACAACTGGTCTCTGTTCACCTGAAGCAAGAGAGAAAGGAGAGTCAGGAATAGAAAGAAAATATGGACTGTGTGGTTAATTATCTTCATGAGCCTCCTTTGCCATAAGACCAAAACTGTTTAGGACCTATCCTGGACCTTCTGATCAAAGATTCTATAGCGGAATCCTTGCCAAAGGAGGCGGAAATGCAGAACAAAATTTAAAATTGCCATGGACTCCAGAGTTTCCAGAGCCATGAAGGTTAAATGAACCACTTAACACCCCTTGCATCTTTAAAACTTACACCAAAAATATCACATGAAGTCTTCTTAAAACCAAACAGTAGGTTAGCTTAACTGGTTAAAAAAGATTCTGAGCAGTAAACTCTTTTAAAAACTATGTATATGAGATCAAACCCACAACAACAACTTAGATAGAAGCAACCAAGATTAGATAGGAACCTTATAGGAGGCAGTGTATTTATGTTAAAGGGAGAGGAAAAACTTAGAAAAGGAGGGTAAGAACGCTTGTACAACTCAAAAAGTTTAATCTATGTCAATAAATGCTATTTGTGTATATTGTTGAATTTGTATCTATTTTACTGTGCATATTTTCAACAACAAAATAATATATTTTTTTAATTAAGGGACATTAAAAATTGACCATATTGCATACCATTGATCTTCTCCCTATTAGCTCTCATGCTGTGGTACTCTGTGTGAATGTTTCCTTATTCCTAATGTTTTTTATTCCTCACAGCATCTAACACACTCAGGTTCTTGAGTAGATATAAAATTATTTTACTGTTTGACCTGAACTCCAATGAAGGGTGGGTGACATGAGTTTTAGAACTAACCTTCCCATTACTACTCACATAAATGGTTACATTTGTTGTTGTTGTTGTTGTTAAGTGCCGTCGAGTCGGTTCCGACCCATAGCGACCCTGTATAGGGTTTCCGAGGGTGTAAATCTTTACGGGAGTAGAAAGCCTCATCTTTCTCCCGCGGAGCGGCTGGTAGTTTCGAACCGCTGACCTTAAGGTTCGCAGCCCGATTCGTAACCACTACGCTACCAGAGCTCCTTACATATTACTCTTATATTGACAAGGAAATGTCTTGCCCTGGTAGCATAAATAAGCATTGGAATTTAATACTATAGACAATGCAATGGTAACTCATTTATTATTTTGCCACTATGGAAGGTCATTTTTAATTGGGTAGATAATGACTTTTGGGGGATAATTTGCTCAGTGAAATTTCTTTTTGTAGACCTTCTCTTACTTATTTATACTTTATGACTTTACAGGTTTTTGGTATAACAAAGAATTTCACTCTCTCTGTTGAGCAGAGCAACCTTGTATCCAACATTCAGCCAGCCCCAGTCATGGTCTATGACTATGATGAAAAAGGTAGGCACACAACAACAATGTCCAGAGGCTATTGAATGTGGTAACTATATCTCAGGTTCCCTGAACTATTAAATTTCCCAAAATCATCTTCAGTCCTCAAAGACTAAAATGTGGATGGTTTTACTTTGTGTATTAAAATTTCCCCATCCATAATATACCTTTGATTGGACTATTTGCTGGTTACTAGAGTTTTCAACCCCTAAAATCCTTTTTATATAATATGGATGGACTCCCCTTTAATTTGATATATAAACCATGCTAAACTGTGGTACTCCAATGAATAAGCGCTGGATTATGAACTATATGGTTGGCAGTTTGAGGCCACCAGCTCCTCCTATTGGGAAAAAGATGAGGCTTTCTGCTCATGCCAAGATTTATACTCTCTGCAACCTTGTACAGGGCCACGATGAGTCAGAATTGACAGCACTTAACCACAAACTAACAGTTCATATTGTTGTTGTTGTTAATGCCAAGGTTTGCAATTTCTTGCCATTTCATTCCACTCCTGTGGAATCTGATTTAAGAAGGAGAATAGTTCATATTCTGGACTGTTATGAAACTTTGATAGATTTCTTATATTTTAGATGCCAAAGCAGTTACTAAAATGTTATAAAGGCCATGCAGTTCCTAGGTTGTATGAGCAGTTAACGCACTTGGCTGCTAATCAAATGGATGAAATCTATCCATAAGTGGCTCCAAAAAAAGGCCTGGTAATCTACTCCTGTAAAATCAGTAACTGACACACATGGGGTTGCCATGAGTAAGCATAGACTCATTGGTAGAAATAATTTTTTTTAATTCTCTGGAAGGTTAATGCTATTAACTACTTGTGGAATTTCGCATACCAATTGTCAAGGAATATATGGATTCTTGGTCTGTTGTTTACTAATTGAATTACTTCATCAAATATATTAAATTTAGGGAAATTATACCTGAATTAGCAAAATAGGGTAAATGAGTGACTCTTGCAATATTATTGGGTAGGATAGACCTACGTGTGTAATATTATCTGACGTAAACTTACCATGGAGCCTAGGAAGGATAAACTTTCTCTTTTATTTTCCAGATGAATATGCTATTGCTTCTTATAACATTGCTAGCATTTTGGTTTCCCAGTGAGACAAAACAAATCACAAGAGAAGGTAAGACAACTACACTTTATAGAGCTTTGAGAACACACCTGCTAAGAAAAGAAAATTGAAAGAAGATAGAATAATAGATTAAACAAATTCTAGTATTTCACATGGTTGTAAGATATATGTGCACTAGGTGAATATTTTAATCATTATAATTTTGTGTATTTCTTTAAATTAGTCTTAAAGAATTTACAGCTGTATATATATATATATATATATATATATATATACTTTTGGAGTCCTGGTATAGTGCTGTGGGTTAATGCGCCAGACTGCAAAGCCATTTAAACTGCAAGGTCGGTGGTTCAAGCTCACCAGCTGCTCTTTGGAAACCCTATACAGGCTTGCTATGGGTCAGAATCGACTCAATGGCACTTAACAACAATATATATATATGCTTTATAACTCATCTTTGCTGTGTAAGTTGTTGTTGTTATGTGCCATGGAGTCGGTTCCGACTCATAGCGACCCTGCACAGGGTTTCCAAGGCTGTTAATCTTTATGGGAGCAGAACGCCTCATCTTTCTCCCGTGGAGCAGCTGGTAGTTTCGAACTGCTGACCTTGCAGTTCGCAGCCTGACTCGTAACCACTACACTACCAGAGCTCAGGTACATTAAATATATATGCACATATATTTATACCTATGGGCCCAAATATAACAACGATTGTGAGACTAGTGCAGGACTGGACAGCGTTTCATTCTGTTATGCATAAGGTTGCTATGAATGGAAGCTAACTCCACAGTGCCTAACAACAATGAATTTATACCTATACATGCATATGATATACATATATGTATATTTGTGCATATATTTTATATGTATATTTGTATATCTACATTTCTACATTGATATCTATAAGTAAACATATTTATTTATTGTTTGAATTATTTTTTAGATCCCATCCCAGCTGAAAAGCTATTCATTTTGAGCAAATATATTCTACATCAAACATGGGAGAGAATCTTGAGCCACATCACATTCAGAACAGTCTGCAATCTCTATAATTTCTTGTTAGATTTTATTTCTTTACTATTCCATTAAATGCTGTCATTTTGCATCTGAGTGTATGATTTTATTTTTTTCCAGTACTTCACTCATAGTTTTTTATTCTAGAAAAGTCAGGGTCTCATTTGATAACAACATTGATACTTAATTTACTGTTTATTGCTAATAACTCTGAAATCAAATTGTTAGGCATTATGGCTTACAAAATTTGGAATTCTGTACAGTATTCAGAAAGCCAGACAGACAGACTAAGGGTAAATTGAGACAGCTTTCTGTAAATGCAAGAAAAGTAAACAAACAAAAATAACAAAAACCCACAACAAAACACTCTTCCCAGTGATAATTCATTAAAGAGTAGGACACACACACAAAAAAAAATCTTAAGACTCATTAATTAACTGAAGGATTTATTGAACTCATACACAAGATGAAGAGAAGAATTAGAAAGCTTTTGTTTTTAAATTTTTTCTGTTGCACTGAGTGTATCCTTTATTACTAGATAAATAATACTCAATGTCTTACCTTTGCCTAAAAGATTTACAGCCTCAGAAACCCTGTACAGAGTCAATATGAGTCGGAACCGACTCCATGGGACACAGCCACCACCACCAATGTAATGCTGTGCCGACTCGATGGCACCTAACAACAACAACAATGTAATGCTACTGTTATTATATGGAATTAATACTGATAAGAATCAGAAAGAAAGTGGTTGGAAATTCAAAAATATATACCTCCAATAATCCACATTTCTAACTCAGAATTCTTTTGAAATCATGCTATAGACAACAAAAACCTATGAATAAATACTCCAGTTATGGAGTTAAAGAATTTGGAGACAGGGTGTCTTAGATTCTGTCAACATGGAATAAATTAAAAATAAAAAACAATTAATCATGGATGCTTACACTTACTTACTCTTGTATTCTCTCTGCCCTATGTGTGCTACAAAGAGAGCCTAATGGAGTCCTGGTGTGGCACTGTAGGATAAATAAGCACTGGACTGCTTACCACAAGATCAGTGGTTCAAACCCACCAGCTGTTCCTTGAAAACCCTGCCTAAGGGCTCTGTGAGTCAGCCTCAATTCGGTGGCCCTTAGCAGCAACATCAAAATTTAATCAATGAACTATGGGTTAATGTGCTGGACTGCAAAGCCATTTGAACCACAAGGTCAGTGGTTCAAGCTCACCAGCTCCTCTTCGAAAATCCTATACAGGATCACTATGGGTCAGAACTGACTCGATAGCACTTAACATCTTTAAATGGTACAAGCATTTAGCATGTTTGGCTGCTAAACAAAAGGTTGGAAGTTCAAGCCCACACAGATGTGCCTCCCAAAAATACCTGTTAATTTACTTTAAAAAACCAGCCTTTGAAAACTCTACATACCACAGTTCAATTTTCCACAATACTCTCCATGATTCTAGAATCAACTTGATGATTGATGATGAAAGATAATAAGTCTTTATTAATTAATGTATTAGAGATGGACAGCTGCTGTGTGTGTGTGTGTGTGTGTGTGTGCATGCCTATGCATGTTTAGAAAGAAGTCTTTCACAAAAGACTATCATGGAAGATTTGGATAAGGCTTGTTATCGGTGCTTTGGCACATGGAATTTTTGTGTATCACCTTCCTCCCACCTCTACACAAAAGTACTTTGTACAACAGGAAGAGTTCATACTTTCTACCATGTTCTGGTGTGGCACTGTGGGCTAATGTGCTGGAGTGCAAAGTCGGTTTGAACCCCAAGGTCGACAGTTCACCAGACGCTCCTCAGAAACCCTATATAGGGTTGCTATGGGTGGGAACTGAATCAACGGTGCTTCACCACCACAACAACATCACGTTATTATGGAAGGAGCCATGGTGGCACAATGGTTTAAGCATTGGACTGCTAATCGAAAGGTTGGTAGTTCAAACACAACAGGTACTCCGAGGGAGAAAGATGTCGCAGTTTGCATAAAATTGTATAGCCTTGGAAGTCCTATGAAGCAGATCTAGTCTGTCCTAGACGATCACTATGAATTAAAAGCAACTTGATGGCAACAGTTTGGTTTTATTTTTTATCATGTCCTTATATGTTTCTGTTGTTGTGTGCCGTTGAGTCAGTTCCAACTCATAGTGACCACCGTGTAGAGAGTTTCCAAGTCTATACATCTTTACAGGAGCAGAAAGCCTCATCTTTCTCTCACAGAGTGGCTGGAGGATTTAAACTGCCAACCTTCTGGTTAGCAGTCTAGTGCTTATCCTACAGCATCAACAGTGCTCCATGTTCTGTTGTTGTTGCTGTTGTGAAGTGCCATTGAGTCGGTTCTGATTTATAGCAACCCTGTATTGGGTTTCCAAGGAACTGCTGATGAGAATGAACTGTAGACCTTGAGGTTCAAACCAACCTTGCAGTCCAGTGGTTTATCCTACAGCGCCACAACACCAGGACTCTATGTTCTTATATAGTATCACATTATTTTGCATTTAAAATAAATTTTATATGCATTTTAGTCATTGCTTGCACACTTAATACTATGATCTATTTAACAGTCCTCTAGAAATCTCAGAGATTTCATTCCATCAATTTTGTCTTGTTTTTTAGCCTCAGTCTCTTTCCTTGTATTAACGTTTTCTTGAATCATCACCTAAATATTTGAAATTTTCTCCTATAATATTCACATTTACCCTCTCATTTTCTGGGCATGTATTGATCTTCCTTTTGGGCTTCTTCTTCCCCCTACTGCCAACATCAAATCATAGTTTTCTTCATGCTTCTTCTCTTGCCACTCAAGCACTAAACGGCCATGACTTCAACTGCCATCTGTGTATATGCTATGATTCTCAAATGCCTCTGTATCTACATTTCACCCCCATATATCTCACTGTCTATGTTGTTACTGTTGTTGTTAAGTGCTTTCGAGTCAGTTCTAATTCATAGTGATGTTGTACTGAGTTTCCAAAGAGCAGCTAGTAGGTTCGAACTGCTGACCTTCTGGCTAGCAGTCCAGTGCTTATCCTACAGTGCCACACTTGGACTCTGTTTATAGTGTCTCTTTAACTGACTGGAGCCTTAAAGACACTTTGAGAGGATATACCATTTACCACAAACCAGCTCCTCTTCTGGAATCCTTCCTTCATTGTATAGTAATTTCATGAGCAAACAATGACCTAAATATCAGCCTTAACTCCATCTCTCCCATCGTTCACCACCAGTCGCTATACCCTATTGATGTACAGTCGCTATACCCTATTGATGTATCTCCTGGTATTAGTAGCTAAGTCTGTTGACCTACCTTCTGAAGTACTCTTGGATTCTCTTGCTTTTATGCATCATTCTCATGCTGCCTTCGTTTAGACCACCAGTACTGAGTGCCTATATTTGCCAAGTATTGTGAAATATGCTCAGGACATACCAATGAATCAAAATAATTTTTAAAATAAGGACCAGTTGCCTTACGGAGTTTCATTCTAATGGGGAAGACAAACAAAACATACAAGAGGGAGATTCCTTTTTCCACAAACTTTTTAAAAGTTTCCTCTCATATAATAATAATAATAATAAACACATATATGCAGACAACACAAACTGCACACTAGATAAGTAAAAAATAGAAAAATAGTGGTGGTTATGTGTCGCTCAGCAATCCTGTATAAGGTTTCCAAGGAGTGCTGGGGCGTTTGAACTGCTGACCTTGTGGTTCAAACTGACTTTGTGTTCCAGTGCTTATCCCACAATGTCACACCAGGACTCCTTGAAGGTGACGTTGTTGTTAGGTGCTGCCAAGTAGATTCTGACTCATAGCTACTCTGTGTAGGGATTTCCAAGGAGCGGCTGGTGAGTTTGAACCACCAACCTCGTAGTTCAAACCAACCTTCTAATGCAGTGCTTTATCCCATAGCAACACACCAGGGCTCCTGAAGGTGGTAATACTATGAAAAAATCAAAATAAAGCATAGGAAAGGGAAAGAGGATGTTGAATTCACT